ACCCACAGGGTGCCTGTGCCCACCTGGAGGAGGATGACGAAGACGAAGTAGACGTTGGCCATGCGGTGGAACTGCTCGTAGAGGTTCAGGGGCAGGAAGGTGAGCAGGTTGTACTTGGCTGTCCTGATGGCATTGCCCTGGGGACAGGGGGCACGGAAATCAGGGACCTGCTCTGCAAATGCCAGAACATTCTGGTGCTCCTGAGATTTCCCACAGCATAAGAAATGCCTTAATTATCAAAGCCATAAGGGAAAATGTTGATTTTAATAATAATAATCATGATGATGATGATGATGATGATGATCATCATCATCATCATCACTATAATCAATGTTATATTTTAAAATATTTATTATTAATAAATATTATTTATTTTATTATCCTTATTTTAAAATTTTATTATATTCATTATACAATTTATTCATTATTAATGAATATTCTAGTTATAATATTTTTAAAATATTTTTATTTTAATATTGTTATAAATTTTATATTATTGATTTTTATTTTAATAGTATTTTAATTTTAATTGTATTATATATATTGATTTTTAAATTATTATTTCACATATTTTTGTATATAATATAATATAATATAATATAATATAATATAATATAATATAATATAATATAATATAATATAATACTATATATTTATTATTAATTTTAAATTATTATTTCATAAATTTTATTTTATTTTTACATTATTTTATTGTATATATTGATAATTAATTTATTATTATTTCATATAATTTTTATTTTTAATATGTTATTTTATTTTTATATTATTATTTTTATAATAACTTCTTTTAATAATTTTTTTCTCCTCACACGGGGCATCAATAATGTTGCTTTTTCACTTTCTTTTGGGGAAGGGAAGGGAAGGGAAGGGAAGGGCTCAGGACCAGCCTGGCTCACCGAGTATTTCCTCTTGCTCAGGCAGAAGGCAAATTTCTTCCTGACCTGCCTGTGGTAGCTGCGGTCGTTGGCCCTCACCTCCCAGGTGAAAGCTGGAAGAGCAAAGGAACATCCATCCCCCAGATCCCCTGGGAGCCAGCCCAGGGCACAGGGACCCGTGGTGGCCACGGCTGGGGCGGCTCCCGGGGACCTCGGGAGCTGCAGGCACAGCTGGGCTCTGGGTCAGGACAGGGGACACGGAGCAGAACATTCCAGAGCTGCAGGGGTGCTGCCCACACCTCCCCCAAGGCTCAGGGTCCCCCCTTGGTCTCAGGGTTTGGCTCACAGAGGGCTCAGGCCCTGCAGGGTGAGCCCCCAGCCTTTGGCGTTCTGCTCATTCCTCTCCCAGTTCTGTTTGTGCCATCCCAGTGCAGACCCTCCAAGCAGGGACCACTCCAGCCCTGCCCCTGCTCACCCCAGACCTTCTCCTTCCCCATTCCCCACCCGTGTCCCACACTCAGCTCCCTCACGAACCATCTGAGAGCAGCAAAATCCCCAAACCACACCCAAATCACACTGACCTGGCTGCTGCTGCTTCCCACGGGGGCAGCCTGGGGCTGGGTCCTGCTCAGCCATGCTGGCACCAGTGCCAGGCCCTGGGGACAAGGACAACCAGAGAGCTTTGGAGCACTGAGCAGGGACAGCAGGATCCTATTGGAATGCTCCCCATGCCAGGCTGGGGACAGGGACAACCAGAGACCCTTGGGACACTGAGAAGGGACAGTGGGATCCCAATGGGATGTTCCAGCTCCTAAATGCCAGGCTGGGGACAAGGACAACCAGAGAGCTTTGAAACACTGAACAGGGACAGCGGGATCCTATTGGGATGCTCCCCATGCCAGGCCCTGGGGACAAGGACACCCAGAGATCTCTGGAACGCAGAGCAGGGACAGCAGGATCCTATTGGGATGCTCCAGCTCCCCATGCCAGGCCCTGGGGACAAGGACACCCAGAGATCTTTGGAACACTGAACAGGGACAATGAGATCCTATTGGGATGCTCCAGCTCCCCGAGGCTCCAGGGCAGGACACCCTGTGGGAGGGACATTCTCCCATCAGCCTTCACCCATCCCAGCTCCCTGTGACAGCTCCAAGGCATTTTTGCTCTCTGGGGAAGCTGCAGGAAATCACTGAAGTCCCTGGGGAGGAACTGGAGCTCTCCCCGTGCTGCCAGCCCAGCCCAGCTCCATCAATGACAAGATTTCCCTCATGCTTGGTGGCCCTGTGACCTTCCTGCAGGGGTGGTGGGGAAGATTAATTAATGTTTGTGAAGAGCTTTGTGATCCTCACATGAAGGGAGGCAGTGAGGGATAAAACATTAATTACTTTATTATTAAATAACCCCACCAGAAGTCACCCCTGCCATTATTTCTTATCTCACTCTTTGATCACTTTTTTCTTTCTTTTACCCCAAAATATCAACTTCCCTCTTGCTCCTGTGGGTATTGCTTTGTCCCAACACCTCAAAGACACCACTGGCTGCGCATCCATCCTCGTTCCAGGTCAAAGGGACCCAAACACCAACAGCACCTCAGCCCCTGCAGCCAGGAGCTTGCCCAGACCCACAAAATCCTTCTTTACCAGCCAGGACTTGGTGCTGTCCCTGTCCTTGGATCCTAAATGTCACCCTGAGTTCAGCACACAAAATTCCAGAATGGTTTGGGTTGGGAGGGACCTTAAAGCCCATCCCATCCCATCCCATCCCATCCCATCCCATCCCATCCCATCCATGCCATGGGACACCTTCCACCACCCCAGGTGCTCCAAACCCTGCCCAGCCTGGCCTGGGGCACTCCCAAGGACCCAGGAGCAGCCCCAATTGTTGTTTTCTTTATTTTCACCAACAAAAAGGAGGAAGGAAGGGTTTCAGGGAGCTGCTGGGGGCGGTGGGACACTCCCAAAAGCTCCCACTCCCAAAAGCTCCCCCAGGTAAGAGGGAGCAAGAAGAACAGATGGATCCCTGGAGGGATGGGATCTCTTCCACACAGAAATCCCACAGGAGCCCCCCCAGACTGGCTGTGACCATTTAGTTCAGGTAAAATAGGATTTGACACAGAGCAAAGCCAATCTCCCCTTCCTCCCTGCTGTCCCCACTCCTGTTCCTGTCCCAGCTCTCCCTGCAGACAGACAGACAGACAGACAGGGCTGGATCTCACCCCACAGGGACAAAGGCAGGACAAAAAAACCCTCCCAACTCTCCATGGAACTCCTCAACACAACAATTCCACAGAAATAATGGCAGTAGGACTCATCAAAAGGCCACAGTTAAAGTGTGGAAAATTTGGACATAAAGCAAAATATTGCCTAGAGCCTGTGGAAAATGTGACAGCACCAAATCTTTGCCCAAGGTGCAGAAAAGGGAGACACTTTGCAGATCAGTGATATTCCAAATATGGCACAGATGGAAATCTTTTACTGTGAGAAGTGTTTCACAGCGAGGGAAACCACCCTGAAAGAATGCAAGTGTTAGTGGTGATTCAAGAACCCAAACTGTCTCTGAAAACAGAACATTTGGGGAACTTTAATCAGATCCTATCTGCAGGGTCATCAGCTGATTCCCCAGTGATTCACTTTTGGTATTGTTAGTAGTGAGCTTATAACCTTTCTTGTTTCTGTTTTCTATACCTAACATTGATAAATAGTGACTGCTGTTAATATTACATAAATGTTTAAAAAATATTGTCTCAATCCCTGCAAACACTTGTGGCTAAGATATTGACTGATTAATGTGAATTCACTGATTTTTGTGATGAGAATTATTTATAAGGCATTGTTATGATGTTTACAGCTGGCTTTCGTATATTTTACAATCTCTCTGTGTACAAAGGGACAAAGGAGGGACAGCAAAGCCCTCCATGGGCTCCTGGCAAGGACACTGCCCTGTCTCCTCCTGCCAGGGGGATTGGGATATGGGGGATCCCATAAACAGGCTGAGGGATACAGGGCCAAAGGGAAAATCCTACAGGAGACAAACCTCAGGGAATCGGGGAAACTGAGGCAGCTGCTCACAAACCCTGATCCCATCCCTGGCAGTGTCCCAGGCCAGGCTGGATAGGGCTGGGAGCAGCCTGGGACAGTGAAGGTGTCCCTGCCATGGCAGGGGTGGCACTGGATGGGCTTTCAGGTCCTTCCCACCCCATTCCAAGGTCCCAACCAGGGGTGACAGCTGGAACAAGCCCTGAGCTTCAACCTCAGCCAAGCTCCTGCTGGAGAGGTCCAGGCTCAGGCTGGGAAGGGCAGAGTCAGGATTGCAAAGGGGACAATGCTGAGGTGACACAGGGCCCATCCATTGGGACACAGCAGCCCCAAGGCCCAGGAGTGTGGCCAACCCAAAACCCTGGGGGTTTGGTCCAGAACTGAGCCCTGGCTGAGCTCCCCCAGCCCAGGGCAGTGGTTGGGGGTCTCAGGGCAGTGGTTGGGGGTCCCAGGGTGGTGGTTGGGGGTCCCAGGGGCTGCTCAGGCCCAGTAACCCTGGCTGTGCCCTCAGGACTCTGATCTGAGGCTCAGAGCATCCCCTGGCTGTAGGGGGATGCAGGATGGGTAAATGAAGGTGGGATAGAATGGAATCTTATCCCCTAAAGAGTTACAGCTGAGCCAATTACTAAAGATTGGGAGCAGGCCTGATGTTAACAGGCCACACCTGTAGTAAATAAGAACAGTGTTNACCTTCCTCAGAGCCATCCTCAGCCTGCCCACGACTCCCAGTATCCCATCCAGCCCTGCCCTCTGGCAGGGGAAGCCATTCCCTGTGTCCTGTCCCTCCATCCCTCACCAGGGATGCCCAGGGTCACATCCCTGTTCTGCTTTTGCCCTGGCAATATCCCAAAGCACACCCTTGGTGTTTGTAGGACACACATCCCATCCACCCCTCCCCTCTCCTGGGTAAGGGAGCACCTGGGAATGACCTGGGCCACACCTGGACCTTCATTTTGGGGCTGTGACCCAAGTTCCAGGTGAGGAACAAGGGCAGGGGGTGGGAGCTGTGCCCTGGTCCCCACCAAGCTCCGTGGTCCTTACGTGATGTACATGGACATGGGGATGATGATGCTCAGGAGGATGGTGAAGCCCCAGAAATTGAGGAAGGCCTGGTGGGCAGGGCTGGTGTGCTGGTAGAGGGCAGCCAGGTAGCTGTGCTTCTCCTGGAACGTCCTGGCCCAGAACCCTGAGGCCACAGCCAGGCCCAGGGACGTTGCCAACAGCAGCAGGAAGATCTGGGGTGGGAAACCAGCATGAGAAGGTCCCA